CCCCCCCCCATCTAGTTCTTACTTCCTACGGTGGGCTAAATGTGCTATTCAGCAGTATTCCGGGTCGCAAGAACCCGTCGTATCAAAATGTGGCTTTTCTCGCGCAAATTCTCGGAGATTCCGCGAAGGTAGGACCGCATTCTTTCAGGATATTCGCGTTTCTCTGCCACATTCGCGCCTTATCACGAAATTTGCGTGCGCAGTTTTCTCAGAGATAGAGACTATGTCGCATCTTATCTCTCCTTCCCCGTTCAAATATGCACTGATTCCATTACACTTCATCCTTCGCGCTTTTTTATTTTCGATGACGTCGAATATTATATAGCGCTGTCATGAGAGTGCAATATTGTGCCGTCGCGCAAACAATAATGTTGAACGAATGTTCATCGCCGACAATATCTGCAAGGTGTAATCTTTTACATTCGCCAAGATGAGACGCGATATATAGAAATGCGTTCTCTCGAAAGAGAATCTTTTTATATAACAAGTTATTTAAACTAAACTTTAAATTAAAAATAGTTATAAATATACTGATATTGTTTTACTATATATGTTTTATTATTTTTGAAATGTTATAAAGCACTTCTAACATTCCTCTAATATTTTAAAGTTTCTAGTAATTTATATACTTGCTTCCAATAATTTTCATTTATATTCTGACATAAACGGCTTTGAAAATTATTATAATAAGTTTATCACGCGAAAATTTTGATATTAATATATTGTTGTGAAATCGGTAGTATTAAATCTTCTTCGTTTTAATCCGCTTACGCGAAAGTCTATGATGTAGCACTTCCCGATTCATGTACGAACAGTTTCTCAAAGTTCTATATTCTGAATGATTTTGATCAAGCGGAATCGAATAGCTCCATCAATGAACTCTTTAACTCGCGTAACGTTCGATATTCTATTTTCATGCTTCAAAAGTTTGCCTCTCGCGATGCTTATCCGTTTATATAAACGTTTCCTTCGACATTTTATTAGAATTTGAGTACGTATTGATATTAATATTTGATTTATTTAAAGCTTAAATCTTGTTTGATTTTGCGTTCTCATTAGAAATATATTTTATTGTTTAATATAGAGATTATAGCAAACTCTATCAAAGCTGTTGCAAAATATATAAATATATTAGAAACTATTAATTTTTAAATATTACAATTAAATTCCAATATTATAATTATATATCAATTCTTTATTTTTCTCAATGTTGTAACGTTTATCAGATTGGATTTTAAACTGAAGATCTGTGATTTTTTCACAGATATATTTACTTTTGATATATACGTATATTTATCGTTGATTGAAAAAATCATTGTATAAAAATATGACGTCATAAACAAAAAGATACGATATTTCTGTCTAGACTAGATTATATTTAAACTGAGTTATTATTGTAAATTAGTTATTACCATGATAATTTATGTTCACACATGTTAAACGATACGACTTTAAAAAGTCTTTTTCTCTCATGTTTGAAAATTATGAACGTGAAAGTGCTAGTGTGAAATCGATACAAGATTTATTGCTCCCATGCTAGTGCATTGCAAATTACAATGGTAGTTTATAACGCGTTGACTTTGAACCCAACATCGTTATTAAAATCTGGATCATGATAAATCATGCGAAGTGGGTCCGCAACGCGCCGGACGATTTAATCTGATTCAGTAGAAGCCGCGATTTATATTTTAATCAGGGAACCTCGGTGCCCGCCCGCAACCGCCAATGATTAAATCGCCGAGTGCAAGTTATTGTACAATGTATTATCACCACCTGTGTGCTATGTCAACTGAGGTTTCGGTCCACTATCCTAATGTTTACGATGTTATATCGAGAAATGATTTTAAGAGGATGCCGGATACCGACAGAATGCGAATATTAGTAGGATTGCAAAATATTTTTGTTGATTATAGATATCAACAAATCCTTTTCCATAATTAAAGTATACATAATAACGGAGTGCGGGGTTTATGATTTCATATGAAAAGTGAAAAAAAATTAAAAAATTACAGTTTTGTTATCGGCTTCTGCCGTCAACATTTACTTAATATAAAAAACCTGCAACCTGCACGTGCCTAACAAGTGAACTCCGCACTCGGCATTTTATCAAAAAGTATTAGTGAACTTCGAGAAGTGAGTTTAGAAGCTTTATAAAAAAGATTTTACTATGCAACATTTTGCACACCGAAATGTTTCTTACTAGGCTTTCAAATACATTTTCAAACGTTCACTTATATTCCTTCATGCATTTCCGAGTGGAGAGGTATCCTATTTTACACGTACACACCGCAAAACCCTTATATTAAGCAAATACATAATTATTATGGCCGGTAAAACAGGACGGTCCGGCAACACCTCGTGGTCGGCCTACCTGACAGTGAGTTCCGGCGCCAGCTTTCACCGTACGCCCGACATGTCGGCGCTGCCGCAGAATCCGAGCAAGCCGCGAATAGTTAACGCCACCAGTAACTCGGTCACCCTGACGTGGAGCCCGGGCCACGAGGGCCAGAGCAAGATCGTCGGCTACAATATCGAGTACTATAGCAGCAACCTGAACACCGGCTGGGTGGTGGCAGCCACGGGTGTCCTCGACGACATCTATACCGTGAGTATTTTATCGAGAATCGGCGACGCTTGACCTCCTTTCCTTATAGTGCTTACACTCCAGAGTCTCAACGATCTTTTCAAGTAGATATTTTCAGTTTCCCTCCTTGCTTCGCGTGTATCGCTTCGAAAGTGTGTTTAGAGCGTGGACTGCTGACGAAAACAGTTTGCAACACCACGTGCGGTGGGTTGAAGAACGGATCTATAAACCTAAATTGCGTTCACGTTGTATCGTGTTTAAAAATTTAATATCAAAGTTCCACGTATGCTGGAACTACAATTTAATAAGAGGACCGAGAGGCACCTAATCCTACAAAGAAGCGGTCATCTACTTCTAGAGATACTTTAATATTCTATATCAAACAGACATCTCTCGTATACGTTGAACTTTGTTGCCGGGCAATATAGCGCTTTGAGAGCAACCTGAAAAGGGAATAAATTAGTCTCTTCAAAGATAAGTATCGTAATATAAAAAATGAATATTTGGTAACCAATAAACAAGCAGTAAATAATGTACTGAAACGTACATATATTTGTGTATAATATAGTTTTCATTTTATTTTTTATATTATTTGCCTTTTATTGTTTAAATACATTTTTTCATTTTTTTTTTTTTATTATCGAGCTAACGAGTCGGGTTCCCTGCTTTATTCATCAACAGGTGACAGATTTAAGGCCGGAGACCAATTACGTTTTCCTAGTACGGGCAGAAAATAGCCACGGGCTCTCGCTGCCCGGACCATTGTCAGACGTAGTGCAAACTACTAACGTAAATCAGCATACGGTACCACAAGTGGAACTGACTCGCGCCAGAGATCGGTTGAACAGCGAGATTTTACATCTCAAAGAGGTGCAACCGTTGACTAGTACCAGCGTCAAGATTATGTGGGACGTAAGTATCGTTTGAAACTTCCTGTGTCGTTCTGTCTATATCGATTTAACACAACAATGTACGTGAGTATCGCGGGAATTGCGCTAGCTCGAAAATTTCTAAAAATAAATCTTTGGCTGTGTACAAACATTACTATAGTTGTCTATTAAAAAAATATTTGTTTATTTTTTAGGTGCGTTTTATTTTAATGGAGACTTAATTTAACATGTACTTAATGTAACATCTCTCTCACATACTCTCTTATAAAAAATATAAAATGTATTAACAAATTATATTAAACTTTCTTGCAATTCTTTTTTGTTTGTAAAAAAACTCCAACTATATTTACAAAATTTTCCTGAGAGAAAATATATTTGAGATATATTCTGACGTGACAATTGGAATTGGAAAACGTTCCAATAACAACAACAAGAATTAGAATAACATACTAGAATCTAAATTTTAGATTCTCGGCGCGGCGGATTTAGTGGAGGGTCTTTATATACGGTATCGCGAGGTTTCCGAGAAACCAGAGTATCAGATGGTCACGGTACTCAACGCCGGCGCCACCAGTTACGTGCTTACCAACTTAAAAAAGTATACGCGATACGAGTTCTTCCTGGTTCCCTTTTACAAGATAATCGAGGGTCGACCGAGCAATGTAAAGCTGGTCACTACTCTGGAAGACATACCTTCGGGCGCTCCCGAGAACGTTCACGTAGGGATGATAAATATGACCTCGGCGTTCGTTCGGTGGTCACCGCCGCCGAAGAATACTCAAAACGGTCAATTGATTGGTTACAAGGTAAGAGTTTCGCAAGTGATATGTCGCGAAAATTAATCTCTTTATTTAATTTAACTATCGATTCATTCGCCCGATTTAGATTCAGATCAAGAGCAACAGCAGTAACAAAATCTTGGGTCAAATGTCCCTGAATGCGTCAACCACATCGGTGATCATCAACAGTCTGACTACTGGCGGTTTGTATACGGCACGCGTCGCTGGACAAACTCGCGTCGGGCTCGGTCCCTTCTCCAGTCCGACACTGTTGAACATGGATCCGGGACAACTAACGCAATTACCGCCGCGAACCGATCCCAGTCACGGGGGTGTGTCCGTCGTCAGAGAAACGTGGTTTCTTGTGCTCATGATAACGATGATATTCGTCGGTATCGTCGTGTTGCTAGCTGTGTTATACGTGAGACGCAGGCAAGCGATGAGCAAGCAACTGGGTCACTTAAACGATATTAAGCAAATATATAATTATTATGGCCGGTAAAACAGGACGGTCCGGCATCCTCTTAACTATCTCTCTCCTCCAATTTTTATCAACAACATCAACAGAGATCTAGCAATACAATTCAATTATTTACTATTTAACGTTTATATTTACACATATAAAGAATTCGTTGTAACAGTAAAAAAAATAAATATTAGTTTTAATTATTTTACAAATTATTTGGTACTAATATAACAGTAATTATAAATAGTATTGATGATTGACCACAAAATAAATGGATCGAAATATTCAATGGCAAGCGCCACATTATTAATAACTCCACGGACGAATGTAGTATTTCGCGTACCGTCAATAATCGTGACAAGGTGTGACATCCGTGAAAGCACAACGTGAGCAACATTATCCTTTCTCTTCTCTAGTCGTCGCACGTAATGAGCATAGTTATCTGACGCTTTAGTATTGCTACGTCATGCTCGCTTTTATTGATTACAGTCATTCGTTATGTCCATTACGTTTTGATGACATATATATTGTAAATGGATATTTCTATAAAAATAGTATATTTTTTTCTTTTTTTTTATATATAAAATAGCGATTTGCAATTCTTAGAGATTTATTTTTTGTTTCTGATATAAATCAAGAAAATATCCTTGTGCTTTACAAATTTATTAGTACAAGTTTGAGAAAGTTCTTTTCTTAATTGCACATTTGAATTAATTTAATGGCAATTATATCATTCTTGCAAATCAATGCATTGTATTATATCTATATTTATAATATCATATATTCAGAAAATTAAAATTTTTTGTAATTAGCCAGCAGAAAATAAATCAGGTAAGGCGAAACGGTGTTTCGCGAGTAATAAGCAGTAGCCATCCATTACCTTTGTAGTCACCTTTATTTTCTTTTAGTAAGGACGAGAGCGAAGAAGAGGAAGCGAAAAATAATAAAAGCAAGTTTCGTAATAAATTAGGAAGCTCCGCTTTGTTCATGGTAGAGAGACACGCTGCAGATAACTCTGCACTGTGCACTTGGCCAAATAAATTTCTAACGGATCAATAACCCGCGAATGGGCTCGTTCAATTCGCGTATATTCGCCTCGATTGGCAGCGCCGTCAAAGAGACGCTTCCGCAGAGCGCGCAACCAAAAATAATTGGTAAAGGATGAGACCATCGCGTAAGATTTTGCTCACCACATTCCAAGCAATGTGTTTCGTTTCAATGTAACGATGATGTATACGAATACCTTCCAATGTTTTAGTTAAACGAAGAAGAAATAAACGAATCGCGGCTCAGCAAGTTTAACTATAGGCCTTGCCGAATGGGATTAATTTTAGATACATTGCATATAGGCACTATGCCTTTCTTATATACGATTAAAAATGAGTTTTCTTTTTTTCTATGAATATTTTGCAGGACTTGGATGTTTTTTTAGCTTAATCCTTATATTAAAATTGTTAGATATAAATGACTTAATGATTCTGATTATAGATAAAATAAAGAGAAAGAAATATTCGAGCGTAATAATAGTAGAAGAATTATGGAAAAGATTTTTAAAAAATGTATAATAAAAATATGATCTCTCTCTTTCTCTCTCTAAAAGCTTATTTAAATATTAATGTTTTTTAAATATGGATACCGCCCGACACACACATAAACACACATACACACACACATACGTTGTTATATCTCGTTATTTATGTTTCTTAAAAAAATACTTGGATGGTCTGGTTAAAAAACGTCCAGATATTGAATAGCTCGGATATCTCGTTTTGCTATGCCCGTATTCATTACTGGACCCTTAATGAGTGATTTAAGACAATTCTGAATAGTATCATATCTTTTTATATTAAGATTGCATTAGAATATGTTTTATTTACGATGCAATGCTTATTGATCAATTCGCGGTAAAAGTGAAATTATTTGTGTGTGATTTGCATAATCGTAAGTATATTTGCTCTAATTATAAACCTCTGTCGTTGCTCGAAATGTAAAAAATGACAGGAAGAGATTAAAGGAATGTTACGCTGTTCGTTGTATAAATAACCGAGACACGCGATACGCGATTAAAACAGGCGGAACTTTTACGAGACACCGACGCGATGAAATTCGAGCGGCCATTAAGTCATCTCTGCGCGCACATATAGAACCGACCAAGAAAACTCAACGTTCGTGGCTTTGTATTTCCGGGTGGTTCCTCCTGGATCGGTCAGTGATAAATGGACCGTGGTATGTACGTTCTCTTCCTTACGGCGTACGGCGAACAAGGAGCGTCAGGAGCAGCGTCTCAGCCAAGATATAAGATCGGTACCGTGCGAATACGGTCGATCGATTCGCGACGATTCGTGTGCGCCTCGTTTGCTCAAATTTATTATTATTACTATCGAATGGCGAAGGATATTTATGCGAATTTATTATTATTTATTATTATATGAATCGCGCGAGGGAAAATCTCCCTTGCAAATTTTTACAATTACAGACTTTAATGTAAATATCTGTGTGTTTGTCGATCGAAAAGTCTTACCGCGCAGTTAACGAAGAATACTCGATTCTCGAATTTTACATAAGATTATGTAATTTCATACAAAGCTATTTAATTATTTGGCGCGAATGACACTCGCGCGTTTGGTTCTAAAATAACACAATAGATCAACGGATCCGTATGCATCATGTTTCATTTATATAAGTCACGAACTGAGCGACGTAGTATCGACTTCCTGCCACGGTATAAGCATTTCCGATGCTCGCGCTGACCAGATGAACGACGTCGCGACTTCGCGAAAGACCTCTCATGGAAGTTTCTTTTCTGGAACACCTGGAGAACTTTAATCCCGCTTTGCTGCGTCACGAGGACTGGTGCTTCTCTTTGAGAATGTTTGACGTTTCCATTAGCGCGACCTCGAGCACGATGGATGAGTACTTTGATGTACACCGTCACTTTAATTAGTAAAACTCGCGTCACTACGCCCGTTCATTTTCGCGTACTTACTTTTCATATTTTCTTGCAGATTCCATAATTGCTCCGCGGGGGGAGGGGGGATCTCAGAGATAAAATAATAATTAAAGAAATGCCATAGATTATGTTGACGAAATTTTAAATATTCTTTCTCTGGAATCATGAATTATGCCAGAAATATCTATATTTTATAAGATTTGGTGTAACCGCGTAAAAAAATAGCTCAAGTGATATATCTACGAAAAATCATCATTCTATCATTACTTCCAAGGCGTAGTTGAAATGATTGATATAAGATTCTGAGAACTCTCATGAGTTTAGAGTAGTTGAAAATGGCATTTCTCTTCGAGCAGCTTCCACCGCCGTCAGACATCACGCATATAACTTATTGTTAGTTCCCGGATATTACGAAAGCCGGCAACCAACAATGGAGATTGAGTACGTGTTAGACGTAAAGTTGTGCATCTGGTTTACAATGTATCATGTAATTTTCGACATTGCCGCCGGAGATTGGTGGTAAACGCTCCAAAATTGGGGGGACTAGAGTAACTCTATTTCCATCAACGTCGTCGCATCGTTGGAGAAGATAGAATAATAACATCAAGCAATTAGTGTATACGCGTGAAATAGAGCCATGATTGCGACTTGAAGCGAGGCAATTGCGATTTGGAGGTGACTGAGGATCGATTGGATAAGAACTCGCTAGAAAATCACAGGAATAAAAATGAAACGTATAAGGGCATTTTTGAGATTTCAGAATGCGCGATGTGTGTTGTCAAACCACATTGGAAATTACTCTTTAATCTTCGAGATTTTCATAACGGACAGCCAGCCTATCGTCTTACGATTCGCCTTAGAACGTGTTACGCTCGAGATACTGACTTCGAACTAGCGTTTAGACGTAATCGCGCGATCGCAGCGAGGAATCATCGCGCGTCAGCCTGTTAACATGTAAACGATGGTATCGGAAAAAATCTGACGCCGTTAATCGTGAAACGTCAATGCTCTCAGAGATATCTTATTTTAATAAACAAATGATACAGATAAAAAGATCTGTTATGTAGAAATTGATTAAATTCGCAATCACATTGACTGGCTTTCGACAAACGCCATTATTGTTTCAGCAATCATGAACTGATTTCGCACAATTGGTATTTTGTGTCGATTGATTTTGAAGATTTGTTAACTGAAATTTCGAAAATTGCGGCTAGTGGCTGCGTTCATGCGAAAACGCGGACAATTCAGTTGCGATTGATTTAATTATCGACTAACTCGACATTCCGAAATAATCGAATTATTTACAATATTGGTTAATTTCGCTACGGCTTGATTATTTACGTTAAGTGATCATAACAAATAAATACGCAATAATATTAGAGATTACAGAAAGTGTAATATCAAACATACATATGTGGAAAATAAACAGAGGTTGCCTTTTCGGTCATTCGCATAATTTGAAAGCTCTTGTCGAAATCCGCAAATGATTTGATTATTCATTGACTTGAATAATGCTAGTCCTAAAATAGATTCATTTATGGATTTAACTCACATCATTCTCGTGAGCATAATTTGCATTTATTAATGTTAATAAGTTAATAGACACGAATGAATAATTAATAATTGAATAATATTATTAACTGCAATATTGCTGTTTGTTTAATTAAAAATTTTACGAATAATATCTAATTTTCACTTGTGTCATTATATCAATCGCTTTTGATGTGATTTATTATGGACCATAAATGCAAAAATCATGCTAAAGATACAGTGTCACTTAAATTTGCTTGTTAGATACGTACGAACGTGCGAAGTACATTATGGAAAATTTGAAAACTCATGACAGCTAGATTCATTAGTTCGCTTTCCAATTGTGATTTATTAGTATTTATCAAACGAGTACAATTCGCGATTTGTGGTTGATTTTGATAAATTTGACATATGTCATAGGTGTTCTCGTCGCTTTATAGACCATTCTTTTATTAAACACCGTGACCTTTGAAACGTTTGAAAAGCCGGTCACACGTCACCTCTGGTAAGTGCCATTTAAACTCTGTA